GCTGATTGGAAGCGGCTGTCCCGTTTGTATTATGGTGGCACACGCCTATATCCCAGCACTCAGGAGGCTGAGACAGGAGGGTTGTTGAGTTTTCAGGCCAGTCTGGGATCCACAGTGAGACTCTGCCTCAAAACAAAAACAAACAAACAAAAAAACAACAACAACAACAAAAAAAACCTCACCCCATCTGCGTCAGAGATCCTCTGATGGTGCCATGTCAGCCCTGTCTACCCCACCGTGGCCCAGGAGGCTGCCCTGTGGGGGAGACAGTGCTTTCCCCCTCTGCCTTTCTGGGGTGCAGCTGATGAAGCCCAGAAGGACAGGAGAGCACTAGGCCCGGTGGCCCAGTTTCTTCCCACTGACTGGCCAGCCTCAGCCTCCTCCCTCTCCGGGGAGACGCAGGGCCTGCAGCCTCCTGCCGGGGCGTACAGCTCTCTCTCGTGGGCAGGTGGCTGCCCTTTGAGCCCAGAGTGACAGCCCAGGGCTGCGCCCATCACTACTGTTTCCTGTTCTGAACTCGTAACACTTTCTCTTCAGCAGTAAAAACAACTTCTTTCAAGAAACTATCAGTTATTCTTGCAAATGTGATCTTTCCCTCGTTTGGACCTAAAATAGCACTGTATCTAACAGTGGCATATTCCTTACACTCTGCAGGTACAGCTTGTCTAATTCCTTCTTTTTCGGTCCAAAGCCAGTCTAATGACCAGGGATTAGTTTATTTCTGTCCTGACAACACCCAGCAGCATTTCACATAGTACTGGATACTTGGTGCAATGTTTGCTAAGTAAATATATATTTTTACATCTCCTTTGTTAACCTGAACAGAGTTCAGACTTCCCCTCTTCAAGAGATCATCTGTAGATGCTGAGAAATTCGTACTGAGTTCCGCTTAACTACATCTTCAGTAGTTTAATCCTAAGAAAACTGAGTTGAAAATGACTTGGTTGAATTTCAGATGTTGAAATTCTATATAACATTTCCAAATATTCTGGATTCTATATCCATCCCTTTCAAGGGTCACTTTCCCCAACAGGACTTTTTGTTTCATATTTGTTTATGACTATTTTTCAGTTTATCAAGTCCTGTACATGTGGCTTTTATACCGCTGAGTATGGTGAGGCCCCTAGTTGGGTGGATGGAGCTACACGTGTACAGAAAGAAAATCGTGTATTTTTATTTATTTATTTATTCTGAAAATTCTACGTTTTTAGAGGCAAACATCTTTGCACAATTCTGTGCCATATTTCTAGTCGTTCACCAATAAATATATTTATGTGTGTCTAATATGGAAATATTTGTCAGATCAGGCGCGGTTTGCGGAGGAGGCACAGAGGCCTCGGTCTAGCTACAAGGTAGGCAGCTGCAAGACAACATCTGTGCAGAGAGACCGCGCTGTTCGCCTCGCCTCACTGCCACAGTCAGTGCAAACCTCACAGCATCTATAATTTTCATTAGCTCTGCTCTTCTACAATTACCAGTTTCTTTCCCAAGTTGTTTGTCTCAGCATGATGTATGTTTTCTACTTCTTTTGATTTTTCCATATTGTGGCATTGTGCACGTGGTGAGTGCTTCTTTAATAGACCAGTGTGATTCTGAGTTTAGGAAATTCATCATTCCCTTACTTACCAAAATATAGTTCAAAGAATAAAAATCCTTTTCTATAAAAAAGAAATTAAAAATCAGTCTTATTCAGGCAGCACTTTAGGAGACGGGAGGAATAACATACAAGCCCTAAATTATATTCGAACACGACACAGATCCAGGGGGACATCCGAGCCGACTCACCGTCAGTGCCTTAGAATATGTTCATGGCTCTCCTCCTGTTGATGTCCCTCTTGATTTGGCAAACAGAGCAAACGGGACAGCATAAGGTGGCCATGAAGTCATCACAAATAGAGCCCTGTTTGGAAACACGAGAGCAACAAGAGGGTAAAGTGCACCCATTTGTAGTGATTTTTTCAGGCAACCTGAAAAGAAGCAAAAGAGTGCATTTAGGAAAATGTTAATCGGTATTTCCATAGACCTCCCATCTCTTTTTATGACCTATGCTTTATAGTTCCAAGACTCTACGGTTTCCGACCAAAGCACCAGGGTGTGGGTGCAGCGAAGAGCTGCAGGAAGTAGGATCTCAGAACCGTTTCCTCCCACTGCCTCACTGTGCCTCTGGTCCAGAGGGCGGCAGCCGGGAGCGATGTCTCATGGAAGACGAAAATGTTAGGATGTCTGGTGTGTTGCATGCATTGGGAAGAGATTTAGAAAACTGGCAAAGAACTCAGGGCTGAGGTACTCATAAGTAAATGGAAAGAAATGAGTAATGAGAAAAACCAATTGTTATTTACTTCTATTTTGGTTCTTTGAGTGAGACAAGGTCTGGCTTTGTAGTGCAGGCGGCCTTGAACTCACTGTGTAGCCCAGGCTGGCCATGAACTCAGCAGTTCTTCCACCTCAGCCCCCTGCTTGCTGGGATTACAGGCGTGCGCCACCACGACCGGTAACAGTGGTTGTTGATACCAAGAAAATGAGATTTTAGCCGGAAAAACAATCATTCGCAACATGACTCAACTCCGAAACTGAATGAAGTGTAACTATCACACCACAAATGGACACGAAGGAATTAACCAAAGTTAGGTCAACCAGGTGGGACCAGATGGGGTTGGGAGTTGGGTATAGATGGGGTGGGGAGAAAATAAAGCTAAAGTCTCATCTTCTGTGGTAGGAAGTAGGTGAACTGCCCCAAATCAAGAAATCAAAAAGCAGCAATACCAGTCTAGGATTTGAAGGTATGGAAGAAAAGCTCCCCAAAAATCAGTTTCCAGGAAAGAGAAGTAGGAGAAAGAAATTTGAGGACTACAGTTTTTCTTTAAAAACTTTGCAAGATTAGATCATTTAAAAATAATTCGTTTCGGGGCTTTGATAAGTGAAATCTGCATTAGAAAACAGGAAGTGGTAGCATTTAATAAGCCAGAGATGTTCACTTTGGGAGACACAGAAAGCAGCTGAGATGACAGAAAGCAAAGCCGAGCCCAGGAACCCGAAACCTAAGGCAGCCAGGCCTGGCCGCCTCACGGGAGAAGCCCTGGGCACCTCACCGCACCAGGAGGGCGGGCAGCTGCAGGGAGGTGAGACAGAGGGCACGGGCGGCTCAGGAATTCTGTCACGAACACAGAAGGAAGAGAATTTGGTATTGAGGGGTGGGGGTGGCAGAGAGACAAAGGGAAAGGCGGGGAGAGAACGGCAGGGGGCAGCAGAAGCAGAGGAAGGAGGGAGGGGCGGAGGGAGAGAATTTGTGGATTTTTTTGTTGAATGCATCTTTCCTGGTTCCATTTGATCTCTTTCAGATATGTCGCTGCTTATTTTTGTCTGATTCATGATTACCGTAAAATTTTATCCCCGATTTATATTTCTCTACCAATGTCAAATAAAATAGGATCTTTAGAATACGTTTAGTTCTTTTCAGTTTTCTGAATTTTATTAAAACTATGCTAAAGTTTTCATCTCAGATGAAAGCACCAAGGAGCATTTTAAAAACTGATTGTGTACTGGGCCTTTAAAATCTCGACAATGTTCATGTTAAAAATATAATAAAGAGCTTATACAGATGAATATGGCATGCAACAATAGATAATATATATATATTTGACAGGATGTTTGAAAATATAGGTTTTCTAAAAATTCTTTTCTTTATTTGACATATGAGGGACTGAAACTAAGGTGTTCACACTGAGCTACATCCGAGTTCTTTTTTTTTTTTTCTTTTTAAATTTTCAAAAATTTTTAGATAGCATCTCACTAAGTTGCTAAGTTGTTCAGGCTGAACTTGAATTTGTGATCCTCCTGCCTCAGCCTCCCAGAGTGCTGGGATTATAGGTGTGCACCAGTATGAATGGCTTTGACTGGTTTCTCAAAGTTTTTTCATCTGATTAATGAAAAAGTAAAACCACAGTGAAATATCATTTTTGCCTCTCTGGCAAAATTTTTAAATGTACTATATAGTATCCGTAAATTTATATAAATGCTAATATATTTAAATTGATACAAGCTTTCTGGGAGGAAATTTGGTAGTATTTTTCAGAATGTGTATAACCTGTGATCTAGGATTCTAGCCACAGAAAATGTCACTGAAAATGTATAATCATATATGTCAGCTATTTAAAATGCAAAATTGTTTAACCTTTCATCAAAAGAAATGATTAAATTATATGTTGGAGTACTGTGCTAGCATCGAAAAGAATTAGTACGCCGACATGAAAAGAAGTCTAGCATAAATTAAGTGGAAAAAAGTAAGAGGGTAGCATGAATCCATTTGCATTTTTAAACCCAGTTAAAAAATAAAAACAAAAGAGCTTTCCAATCCAAAAATTTGTACGTATATTTACCTCCAACCTAAACTTCTATGAGGTATAGATATAGGAAAAAATCTGAACGAGATTCACCTCAAATTATTAGTAGAGTTTATCACTGCACAGTGGAATTGGGTACAAAGAGGTTGAATTTTCACTTTTTCTTTATATACTTCTGTGTTGAAATTTGCCATACGATTATCCATAGCATGCATTTTCATAATTAAAATAATAAATTTTAAGTGAAAAGTAAAATAGTACGTGTGCAACTAATTTTTTAAAATTATTTTTTGCATATTCCCTTATTCGGTTAATTCTGCGTACCAACTTGGCTAGGTACCCAGGTATTTTAGTCAACATTATTGTAGCTGTTTCTTGAAGACGTGCTCTAGATGAGATTAACATTTAAATCAGTAAACTCGTAGTAAAGCAGATGGCCCGCCATTATGTGGCAGCAGGTGAAGACCTTGATATAACAGGGGAAAAAAAAAAAAAGATTTTCCCTGAGCAAAACGAAATTCTCAACCACTGCCTGTGTCCTTGAGCTGCAACTGTTCCCAAGTTCTCTGGCCTCCCAGGTATTCTGCAAGATTCAAACTTGAAGCCTCGTACCTGCATGACAGGTTTTCTTCAGATAACCCTCCCTCTCCCTCATATACATGTGTGCATACCTATGCATGCGGATACAGAGCCACAGGCACACATGTGCACGCACGCACACACACACCCATCACTCATGCCACAGGCTGTCTCTCCCTCAAGCCCTGCCTGCTGCACCCCGACCCCACAAAGCTCGCAGGTGCAGTGGCCAGGTGCATGCACAGCCCGGACAGCCGGATGCAGCCTCTCCTGCGAGGCTGTGTCTCTGGGCAGAGGACCCCATCTCCTAACACTCTGTCTCTTCTGCGGACCTGCCTTCCTGGGGTGGTGCGAGGCCTGAGAGGTGACAGGCCAGACACACACCCCTCTCCTGCTGGATGACACACAAGGCCAACAGGAGAATTACTTTTCTGCTAGTTTGCAGCAGAAACCCAGAAAGGGTCACATCACTAGAGGCCCTGGGGCTGCCGGTCCCATCTAACTGTGGCCCTCAGCCTCCCCAGGTCCCTGGAGAAGGCCAGCGGCTGCACACGTGCGTGGTGAAAGCACGAGACTCACAGGGATGCCGTATCGGGTTCGGTAGAGCGTTCTCATGGCCACAGATGTCCCGCACAGACAGCACTCGTTCATGTCGGCTGCAACCTGGCACCCGAGACACACGAAGCAGAATGTACCGCAGAGACCTGGACACATGGAAGCAGGGACACAAGTCACCGCTCTGCCCGGCAAGGCTGGAGGTCGGGCCAGCCCCAGCACCGCCTCCCACACCGTGGGTCCTTGTCACCCATGTGGCTGCTGAGCCATCTCCACCACTTCCCGAGTCACATGAGGAATAACCACGCCTTAGAGGGCGCACTCTTCACAGTGGGGCCTCCACCGGTCACATATTCAGGGTCCCTGGAGCCTCACCGAGTCCCAGACGTTACCCCTGGCCAGGTCTGCGGGGGACGTAACAGGACGAGGAGGACCCCGGGGGAGTCTGCTTGGACGTCCAGGGTCGCCCACAGAAGTGGCGCCCATGAGGCCCCGATGAGGGCAGGCTACTGCCTGCATTCTGAAGCACAGTTGGGTTTTGAAGGTGGACAGAGAGGAAGGCGGCCCCACAGGCTCCTTGGCTCAGGGTTGCAAAGCCTGGGTTCCTTCAGTGTGGCCAGAGCCGCACACGGGGCGGGGCACAGCTGGGGGAAGACCAGCTGTGAGTGCTCGGATTGTGCCGTGAGTGTCACAAGGAGCCACCAAAGTGCTTTGAGAGAGGGTGACTTGCTCAGATTTACGGACGAGCCCATCTCTCGTGGAAGCAGTTCAGCCTGGCCTGGGACTTACGTGCTCATTTAACTGGGTAATAAGACCAGGGGTGGGAGGGTCAGGGTCTATCTTTACAGAATTTTACCACAATAGTCTTAATTATCACTTTGACTGCAGATGTTGAACTAATGTCCCCAGAAGGCAAGACTATGGGCCCATTATCTACTAAGACAGCAGAGAAGATGAACAAATCCCAGGGTTCCATGCCTTAGGTCATTTTTTTCATCTTAGTCATCTTGATGCAATTATTAACTTGATTCAGCCCAAAGTTCCTGTTTCACTGATGCGTTAAAGGCTAATATATTTTCTTTCCTTATCTAAGAATGCTGTGTAAATTTGAGACAGGTGAACAGATTCGGGAGCAAAGGTTTTGTGGGTGGGCTGGTTTCTTGGTTAGAATTGTGGTCAAAGCACCGTGGTCTCCTGTTACCCTAACCCACTTCCAAACTTCCTTTCCTCCAAGTCCACTTTAAATGAGCCCTCAGAATGATACCACTTACAGAGACCTTCCAAAGGGAGAGAAAAGAAAAAGCCAAATCAGAGGTACTTTTCCACGTGACAGCCAGCTGCCCTCAGAATTCTTCTCTTTTGATCATCTGGGAAACCTGTTTGTATAAACCGAAGTAGTTCCTCCCTGAGCTCATGCAGAAACCATGGGAGAGGGACTTTCTGCGGTGTGTCAGACACCATACAACGACAGAGCAATGACTTTAAAGTGTGTGTGACCAAAAAGAGTCTTTTTTCCAAAAATCAAGTAAAACTTGAACTATTTCTTGCATTCATGTCTATTATGAGGCTAGCGCTGTTCTGGGAATGAATGAGTTCTTTCACAGTTAACTCTGACACGCTGGGCGTGCGTGGTTGGAGGAACGTAAGTGCGGTCAGCTCGTGCCCTTTGATGTGAAGCCTGCAGGAGCCCAGAAGAGGGCGGACCTTCGGCTACAGGAAGAGGGGAAGGACCGGGACACCAGGCCCCTTCCCAGGCTTTTCCCACACTCACACACTCCGCAATCGCTGAAGCAGTCGCACATGCCCGTCTGCCAGTTGGAGTTCTGGGGCGCACCAACAAATCCAGGTTGAGTCACGACCACCACCGGTGACTGGCTCTGCATTGTGGACGCAGTCTTAAGAGCTGTGGTGGGAAGGAAAGAGCTGGCATTAGTGACCTCCTGCAGTGGCTTAGGAAAGTCCATCTTTGAGGCACCACTGCCTTGATAATCCTGGGGGACATATTTTTATCTCCTTCCCTCAGCAGACTGAGGCCCCGGGGGTTGCCTTGTTCCTGAACTATTTATAGACAGGGAGCTGGTACCTAGGTGACAGGGAAACAGACGGACTTGTGATAATGAAAGTAGTGGAGTGTGGAAAGTGCCTCTAAAACTTTGCCATCCTGTGCCTCTCCACCCTTCCTCTCTTGTTGCTTTACTGTGCTCCTTCTTGCTTGTGGATGCATCTCTGACTGGCTGTCCTCACCACTCTTCCTGCATCCAGGCTGGCCCAGGACTTCACACAGATTGGGCGTTGGATCCCATAACTGCTAGTCACAGTGGGCTTGCCAGACCCTTGCCGTGTGGTGGGACCAGCTGACAGTGGGTTCCAGAAAAGTTTTTACCAAAGTGGCTAATTTTCTTTTCTTCTCTCTTACTCTTTTTTTTTTCTTCTTCTTCTTTTTCTCTTTTTGAGGCTGGGTTTCTAAGTAGCCCGGGCTGGCTTCGAACTTGCAATCTCTCGGCTTCTGCCTTCTCTTAATAGTTTCCGTAGCACCAAGCTCGGTTTCAGACTCATGGTAATCACCTCATTGAATGAAGCACTTAGGCTGTACTTGACTCCCTTACAGTGTGTGAGGAACCAGATGGAAAAGGTTGCCACTTAAGAATTTAGCACAGTTTTAAAGACACAAAGGGAAAACGCTAAAATTAAAAATATAGGGCCTCTAGATACTCTGGCAGTGTGACTCTATCTTCCTCTCGTATTCTTTCTCAAATGGAGAAAGCAGTCTTAAAAATAGGCAAATTAGCCAGGTATGGCGGTGCACACCAGTGACCCCAGCAATCAGGAGGCTGAGGCAGGAGGCTCATTTGATGTCTGAGACCATCCTGGATTATAAAAAGAGACCCTGTCTCAAAAAAAACAAACAAAAAAAAAAAACAAAAAAACCCTCTCCCCCAGAAAAAAGGCAAATCACTTCCATTTTTTCGCATTATTTTGCACTTCTTCTATTTCTTGAATATACTGATTTCTCTCTGGGTCTCATTGAGTTTAATTTTTTAAACACAAAAAAAAAGAGGCCCAAAGTGTCCTCTTTAACATTTGTATCTGTGGAATATCATCACTCTCAGTATATTACTCAAAGGTATTTATCCTCTCATTACTGAGAACAGCGTACAAACACTATTTTTTTTAGGACTAAGAGGATGTTTTTGTTTGTTTGTTTGTTTTGGTACCGGGCATTGAACTTAGGTCCTTGTGCTTGTGAAGCAGGTGGCAGAATCACCGAGCTAAATCCCCGGCCCCTTTTAGGACTGAGTTAAATGGTACTATATAAATTATATAATAGTAGGCATGTAGTTACATTAAAAAAACAGAAAAGTTGATGTATTTAAAACACTAAAAGGAAGCCAGGAGTCATGGTGCACGCCTGTAATCCCAGCACTTGGGAGGCTGAGGCAGGAGGATCGCTGTGAGTTCGAGACCAGCCTGGGCTACATAGAGAATTCCAGGGCAGTCTGAACTACGTAGTGAGACCCTGTCTCAAAAAACCAAACCAAACAAAACACACTAAAATGAAAATAATTAAAAGCTGCAAGATTAAGAAAATGGTGAGAAGGCACAAACAGATAATTTCCAAGAGAAGAAATGAAGCGTAGCTGGTCGTGCACATGGTAATCTCGGTACTTTGAGAGGCTGAGGCAGGGGAGTTATAGATGTGAACCCTGCCTGGGCAACTAAGTGAAACCTTATCTTAAAATTAAAAATAAAAAAGGACTACAGATGTGGTTCAATGAAAAATCCTGGATTCAATTCCCAGTGTCCAAAACAAAACAAACAAAAAACTCAAACCAAAACAAACCGTTTGAGGAGTATAATCATTATGTGTTGCGGACATGTGCTAATAAAAATAAAAATTAGGGGCTGGAAATGTAGCTCCGTGTGGCTATGGCCCGCCTTGCAACTGTAAGGTCCTGTGTTTGATCCCTGGTACAGCAAAAACAAATTCATAAAATAAAATGAAACAAAAATTAATACAAACAGAAAAAGGACAAAGAAGTAAAAAGATAAAAGATCCTTAGATAAATCAAAACATGCCTGTACTCACTCAAAACTAAGGAAACGCAAATTCAACACTTGCCAGGCCAAAATGAAAACTTGATAGGCCATACAAAACCTTTTTAAGAAAAAAAAGTTTAGGGCCGGGGATTTAGCTCAGCGGTTAGGTGGCCTGCCTTGCAAGTGCAAGGACCCAAGTTCGATCCTGGTACAAAAAAAAAAAGTTTAGCCAGGCATGGTGGCTCACACCTGTACTCCCAGGACTCCAGAGGCTGAACCAGGAGAATCACCACCAAGTTCAAGGCCAGTCTGAACTACGTGGCAAGACCCTGTCTCAAGAAGAAAAACAAAAACCTCCCAAAAGGAAAAAGAGTTTAGCATTTTTGTCATAAAGAGGCTGATTTCTAAAAGAAAATATAAACAGTTTCAAAATAACAGAAAAGTTGGAGATTTTCAGGTGAACATCTGCAAACCTGTCACTTCCTTCTGCCTATCCCGGTACTGGCTGCAAGGACAGTATGTGTGTGCCTGGCCTGATGGTAGATCCAGGGCCCCTTGGAGGAGCCCGGCAGTTCCCACACGACAGGGATGCCAGGAATGGGGGCAGCCAGGCCCCAAGGCTCGGCCCTATCCGGGATAAGAGCGCAGGCCAAGGCAGCAGTTTCCAGTTTGGGGGTGCCGGTGGCTGAACTCCTGGACACCAGGACAGTGCCCCTCACCCATGTGTTGGTCTCTGGGCTTTTCATCACAGCCTCAATAACACGCCTGTAAACGTCAAATGCTGCCCCAGCCCAGCAGAGCTACTCTGGCAAGGTGAACTGAACTTCAGTTCAGTGGTGAGAGGCTTCAGGAAGCCCGAGTCACCACAGCAGGTCAGAAGCTTGGGCTGGCAGTTGGCTCCTGCCGCAGGGCTGAGGAATCGTGGTCCTGGACACGGAGCCCACCCTGTGGGTCCAGCCACACAGCATCAGAGGCCAGAGGTGTCAGCTGTAGAGCCGGCCACTGCCCTCACCATTTAAAGCCACACAGCCTTCTGTGGTGAGGTCACTGTGTGACGGCATGGATGATAGTTGGTTTTTCTAACATACGGAAGCTAAAAGTAGTAGGCTTTGAAGGTATGAGATGAGAAACAAGATATTTGCATGGTGCCAGTGCTCCCCGCACGACACTGAATGCTTCCAATAGAAAAAACAGCAATTTGCACAGAGAAGCCCGCAGAAGCCTGACCAGGCAGTCAAAGCGAATAGGACCAGTGTAGGGACACAGCAGTGTCATCATGAGCCCATTGGGACGGATGGGCACAGCACTTCCTGCTACCCTGATGAACGTGCGCAGAGTGTCATCGTGAGACACACTGGACAAGTTCTGCCGAAGGGTGGATGACCGACCCGTCAGTGAGCTTCAGAGGTGCAGATGGAGGGGCCTTGCAGATTGAGGGACACCAGGAAGGTGCAGACAGACAAGGGCTGGACAGGGCTCAGAGTCTGGGCTGGGGACACCTCAGGGGTCGTGGGGGCTTTGCATGTATGAGGCCCAGCCTGCTCTGTCTGTGCTGAACAGCAAGATCTATTTTTTTTCCCCCTTCGGTACCGAAGATTGAACCTGGGGCCTCGTGCTTGCCAGTAACTGCAGTGCCTCTGTGAGAGGGTGTCACAGGGCTCCTTAGGGAGTTCAGGCTTCAGGTAAATGATTTACAGGACAAGAGTTCAAGGAGGAGGAGGTGCTGTTGGAAAGGGAGGCTGTTTTCAGGTCTGTTCTCAAGAAATCACCTGGGGCTGCTGGGGCGAAGGGCAGGGTCTCTCCCACCGTCTGGGAAGGAGACCTCCATAGTAGCTGGGGCTTGCTGAGGCTCACTGGACTTCAGACACTATTGTTTACCTCGATGCTCACAGTTGCAGCTGAGCCTTACCTATGGGTGCTCTGGGATTCTGTTTCTACACAAGAGGAGGCTCTCAGACCCAGGGGAGCACCACAGCCTCTCCCTGGTCACTGGCAGACAGAAGTCAAACATGAATGAGCTCCTTGGCTGAGTGATTAGTAGATTGTGTCCTGGATGGAGGTGTGAAGGGGGCTGAAGGAGGCGGAGCCAGGCTGGGTAGGTCATGGGGGTGGAGTAGATGCAGTGGGTGAGGTGAACTGGCTGGGGTGGGCCAGGTTCCTCCCGACTCTGCCATCTAGGGGCCCAGGATGGGGACGCAGCTGCACTCACCTGCCCCTGCAGCACTCAGGCACCCCTGATGCCTTTGTGTTGCCTCCGGCTGCACCCCACTGTCTAAAGCCCATGGGTTCCCAGGACAGCCTGCACAAGCCCCAGGAGGCTGTCCACAGACACCACAGTTGGGACAGGGCACTGGGGTGCAGCAGACAGGGCCCAGCACCACCAACCAGTACGTTGCCTGTGTTACCAACATTTATAAATTCAAGTTTTCAGAATCAGCATTGGTGACTCGGGCCTGTAATCGCAGCACTTTGAGAGGTTGAGGCAAGAGGATCTCAAGTTTGAACCCAGTTTGGGCAACTCAGGGTGACTCTGTCTCAAAATAAAAACTAAAAAGGGCTGGGATATAGCTCAGTTCAAGGACGCTGTCTCAAGAAGAAAAACAAAAACCTCCCAAAAGGAAAAAGAGTTTAGCATTTTTGTCATAAAGAGGCTGATTTCTAAAAGAAAATATAAACAGTTTCAAAATAACAGAAAAGTTGGAGATTTTCAGGTGAACATCTGCATACCTGTCACTTCATTCTGCCTATCCCGGTACTGGCTGCAAGGACAGTCTGTGTGTGCCTGGCCTGATGGTAGATCCAGGGCCCCTTGGAGGAGCCCGGCAGTTCCCACACGACAGGGATACCAGGAATGGGGGCAGCCAGGCCCCAAGGCTCTGCCCTACACACACACACACACACACACACACACAGTTCAGCAGATGATGTGGGCTGCCTCACCCCACACACTCTTCAGGATGAGCACAGTGCCCAGTGCTGCCTGGGGCCCCAGCACCAGCACTGAGGACACAGCAGTAATCCAGGGACAGGGGCAAGGCTGGGCCTGGACCCCTAGACCTCCACATGCCCAGCCCAGGTCCCCCCTGCACCCAAACTCCAGGGCTAAGTGCGAGAAACCTCACTTGGGGTGACAGCCTCCCACTACTTTTTTTTTTTTTTTTTTTTTTTTTTTTTTTTTCCTTTTTATTAACG